AGGGGCAGGCTCTGCCAGCTTTGCAAAGCAGAGCCCCCAGCCCGAGGCCCGGGCCAGGTCTGATTAAAATGGGAAGCTCGAACTTCCCTGGAAAATAAAAAAATGGTATCTGGTACATGGATAATTTTTTTCCCAAAATTTTTATTGGGGGAAACTACAAAACATTTACAGTACAATGTTTACAGTCACAATTTGTAGTGAACTGATTCCCCAAAATATATTACAACTCAAGTTGACTTATCTTGTTACATTCAAATATACTTCTGTTAAAGTAGTCCCGAATACATACATACATACATACATAGTGCTCCAACTGTACCTACGTACATACAGACTAAAGCTACTGCGCACTCACCCACCGTTCAGGGAAGCATTCCTGCCTTTCTACATGGGGAAAAAAATGTGTACAAGGTTTGGAATTTTTTTGTAATGAAACAAGGCATATTCATGTAATACATACTATTATTTTAGCACTAAGAGGTGACCTCTTCACTTTTATCTATATAAAAAAAGTGGTAAAAATCTTCTCCTTTTGTGCAGTTGAACCCATCCTACATTCAAATTCTCTCAAGCACTAAGACAAAATACTTATTTGGTTGAGGAAGTTTTAAGGCTAGTTCTGGCCCTTCCAAGGCACTGGTGAGAAGACTACCCCCCATTATTGCTACATGTTTGTATAAGCCAGTATGTCACAGTAGATCTGGTGGAATAAGCAAACAAAAACACTTTCCGCTAATTTATAAAGTTGGAATGAGAAAGCCTGATTGCAAGATATGTGGTCGCCTTTTCTTTAAAGTTGGATGGGCTGCAACCATTATACATTCTAAGAAAACACTTGAGATATTCCTTAAGCTACTTCCACAGCATGAAGATAGATTTCTGTAAAGAAATCAGGCAATCTTTCAAAATTTACGTAAACAAGGAAAGAAATTAATGAAATAAATATTACAATCTCTTAAATTAAGATTTTTTTACTCATTTACAATAAAATAACCATGTGAAGTTACAAAAGGCATATATTACTGTGAAAAGAACATACACTCCACATTTTGCCGATTAATAATGGCAATCATAATTTAACATAATAAAAGAATATATATCTATTGCTTTTCATCATACTTGATAAATACAGTATGAACAAAATTTTCAATGTATACTTTTCACAAGATAATAAATAAGTTAAATAGTTTTTTTCATATTGAGTTGTGGTGCAGTGGTGCGAATCAACTCAAAACAGCTAAAAATTCAGCAGTTTTCACCAACAATGACAAACTAAGGTCTGCCCAAGGCTTCCAGAGAGAGCAGACGACATGGTTCTAAATTAAACACCCACTAAGTGGGGGCAACGAGACCAGTGACCCAGTAGGGAACTTTGGAATGCAAGGTTTCTTCCAGACACATGGAACTCTGGGGGGGAAAAAAAACAAAACAAACCAAAACAACAAACCTATGGAACCTACTATCAAGGCATATTCTTGGCAGAATATTCAATTTTAAAAGCTTCTAGGGTTCAGTAAGGTGGTGGTTTGGCTGGTGTGTTTACACTGGTTTGAGACAAACGACAATAAGGAACTTCTTTCAAGATAAGAGTTCCCACATCTGGACTGTAACTAATGCTTTTCAAGTGAAGATACGGAATGGTGGTCGGTAGCTGCTGGTGCTGGGCTGATTTTTCCTAAAGTCCCAAACTCATGAGACCTAAAGTTTAGAAAGTTTATGTGTTTTTTTTGTTCTATTCGCATCACAACTGCCCAGTTGTGAATATTTTTGTTCATCAATACAAAAAGTTCGTTGGCTTTTTTTTTTTTTTGCTCAACAAGAATCAAACTTCGTAATAATAATAAAAATAATAATAAAAAACAAAACAAGAGGAAACCGAAAGGGGAGGGGCGGGGCCCCTCCTGGCACACAAGTTCGAGTCCAAGTGCTCGGTCCAGCCTGCAGTCTGCTTGTGGCCTTTATCACCTCCCCAACTCCCTAGTATCACGGTCAAGATGGCAGGGGCACCCTCCAAACCCCCCCCAGAATCGGTCTTCCCTTCCTCCTCTCACTGGCGCCCTCTTGCCTCAGTCATCGGAGATGGAGAGGCGGCTGAAGATAGGCAGACGGCGACTGGGATCGAGGCTGGGGGACTCGGAGCCGCTGAGGCTGCCAGAGCTCAGGGAGCCACTCAAGTAGCTGTCGCGGTCAGACAGCGAGTCAGGAGGGCTAGGGGGCGCGTCAAACACCGGTGACTCGGACAGGCGGCATGGCAGCTGGTAGTTGAAGGGTGGTGAGGGTGGCCCAGCGGCACTGGCAGGTAGGGGCGCGCTGGGTGGCGCCGGGGGCTGTGCGGGGGGCACCAGGCCCTGCTGCTGCTGGTTGCGGTAGTAGGCGGCAGCAGCCACCGCTGTGAAGTTGTGGGTCTGGATGGCGAGTGGCGTTATGAGGCTGCTCAGCTCTGGACCGAAGGCGAAGGCGTTGTTGGCACATGAGGCAGACGAGCAGGCAGTGCATGGAGCACCAGGTGCCAGCAGGTCTTCTGCGCCCCCCGTGCCATACAGGATAGCGGCCGCTGCGGCTGCTGCTGCAGCCGCAGCAGAGGCACAACACGTCGGGGCACCAGAGGGCGTGGAAGCCACGGAGGCAGATGAGCAGGATGAAGCTGATGAAGAGCAGGATGAGGCGGAGGAGCAGGAGGGTGGTGGCGGCGTTCGCGATGTGGGACTGTCGAGTAGCAGCGGCGACTCCAGGCCCCCAGGAGGCTGGTGATGGCCCGACGGAAAGCCTGAAAAGCTGAGGCTGTGGTGCAGCTTGGGCCGCGGCTCCCGAGGGAAGCCCAGGTGCAGCGCATCGCGCGCACTGAAAGTGCGCAGGTCCCCGGAGGCGCCCCCCGATGGCGAGGGCCTCCGCTCATCTGCATTGTGGATGAAGTGGCAACGCGGCCCATAGGGGCAGAAGCCGATGGTGTGGAAGGTGCGGCACAGCTCTGTCTTGTACTTGGGGTGGCGGGTCAGACTGCGCAGCTCGTGGAAGCCATGTGCGAACTGGCACTTCTCGCCGTACTTGCACGTGCCACTCTCCTCGAAGGGCCGGCACAACTCAGTTTTGTAGCGAGTCGAATTGATCTGGGAGCCGCCACCCCCCTTCTGCTGCTGCTGCAGGTGCAGGAGGTGCTGGCTGCGCTCGCTGTTCTCGCTGAAAGAGCGATCCCGGAATTTGTTCTCCTTGTTGAGCAGGGCCGTGCCGCTGCCGCCCCCAGACGGCTCCTTGAGGGTGCCGTAGGAGGCCGGGCTACCGGCCGCTGCACTGCTGCTGCAGCTGCTGCCGTTAGGCACGCCCGGGAACTTGGGCGAGCAGCTGCCAGGGCTAGGCGCAGGGTGGGCGAGCGCGTGCAAGTTGCTGGCCGAGTGCCGTCGGAGGAAGCCCGGGGTAAAGCCCGAACTTGGGGCGGCGGCCACGGGCGTCCCCACTGCTTTCTTGTCCAGCATGTTGTTCAGATTGAGGTTGGCCAGGGATTTCTCTGTCTGCTAAAAGGAGGGGGCGGGGAAGGGATGAAAAAGAGTAAAGGAGGGAAGAGTTTGGGCAAGTTGCAGAGTAACTGCCAGTCTTCGGATTCTTTTTCCTTTTTTGCGGATTTCGACTCGCCCCCCACCCCCCCGCCTTTGCCCATACACGCGAAAAAAGAAAATCAAGTTCGCGTTGGTAGGAGCTGGACTCCCACTCCAGGCCGCGCTGGGTTTTGACACGTGATCCTCAGCCCGTGGGCCGCCGGCTTGGGCTGCGCAAACTCTGTCCGGGAAGCCCTGGGTAGCGTGGCCGCGGTCGGCCGGTTAAAAACTAAACAGCTATAGCCGCTCCCTCCAGCCCTTCCTCCCTCCCTGCTTCTCCCCGCCCACAAGACACAAGCAACAACCTCTACAAATTCGGGGATTTTTCCCCACCCCAAAAGTCAAGGTGGAGAGGGGTCCCCCAAAAGCTGGGGGCAGAAGGCAAAGTCTGAAAACTCGAAGGGCTTCCTGCTTGTCTGCCTTCTCTCTCCTTGTTCCCCCGCGTACCTTGCACAAGAAGTCGATATCGTAGAAGGCGGACAGAAGTGTGGTCGACATGTTTCTGGATTCTGTAATGGTCGCAGTTGCAGGCAGGGAGGTCCGAAGGAACCCTCGGGGCGGCGCGGCCGAGTTCGAGCCACGACGAATAACGGGAGAGGGGCGGGGGAAGGACCGAAAGTTGGCTGGGGGCAAGAAAAGCGGGAGAGGGAAGCAGAGTGGACTGGTTTGAGGGGTGCCCAAGACTACGGCGTGGGGGGAAAAGGAAAGAGAAGCAAAGAGCGCTTCTCCGCGCCTCGGGGTGCCCGGCCCGCCCCCCGCGCGGAGCCGACGGCAGATCGCAAACTGCTGGAACTCGCTAGCCCGCGAGCTCTCGCACTATATAGAGCTCCGTAGCTCGGCAGCCGCTGGGGCGTGCCGGGGGAGGGGACAGAGCTCTTACCCCGCTGAGGTCTCCAGGCAACGCCGCCCGCCGGCTCGCGGCTCGCAGACGTCAGACACCTCCCTGGCTTCCTATTGGCCGCCGCCAATTTTTTTCCTCCGCAGGAGGGGGCGAGAGGCCTCGGGGCGGGGCAGGCTACAGCAGTGCCCGGGGCGTCTTGGAGAGCTGGGCCGAGTTGCTGCTGGGTGGCGGCGGGAAGATACGGCTCCCATTTTCTGGGGCTGCAGTTGGAAATCCCCAGCACGTTTGACGTGGACTGGGTTTTGCAGCCCTGGACGTGTCTTTCCCCGCCCGATCCTGCTAGGCGAAATTGCGGGGCTTTTATCTCCCACCCTGGGTTTTATACTGGGCGCGGGAATTGCAAAATGCAAGCGTCCGCGCGGCCTCACTGGTTTGCAAAGGGTTCCGCGGCTGTAGGGCGGGTTGGGGTGGAGGCTCTGGGCCTGAGTACGGCGGGTGGAGGCTCTAACCCGACTGCACGTGGAGACACGGTGGGGGTGGGGGTGGGATGCGCGCGGCTTTCGCGGCATTCTTGTCGGGAGGAGCCTAGGCTGGTTTCTCCGCCCCGCTCCCCGCCCAGGCTGCAGTAAACAGGGCCTGAACTCTCGGGCCTGCGGGTTAGGGCTGAGAGTCTGAGGACAAGGCGCTGGCTTTGCTAATCACGTCACAAGACCTTGAGCCAGGGCCAAAGGCGCTGAGCGGCGCGGGGCGTCCCAGGCGGGGGAGTCTACAGAGCAGACTGGAGGAAAGGACGGCAGAGACGCGCAGGCATGGAGGCGACTTCCCGCCAAATCGTCCGTCTGCTGGTCAGTCCGGCCTTCCCCAGCCGTCGCGAGGTTGGGGTACAGCTGTCAGCCACTTCCCCCGCTCTCCAGCAGCCTTGGCCTGGCGTGCCTTCCAAGCCCCTTCCCTCCCCGCCTTCGTTCCATGTCGGCAGCAGGCTCTGGGCACTGAGGACTTAGATGATGAGCTCTCCCCCCTCCGCTGTTTCCTCTTGCGAGCCCCACACCCCAGAATCTTGTGGTGGGAAATGCTCTGCCAGGGGCACCCTCCGGGTATGGGGCAGACACACCCCCTAGCGCCCAGTAAAGCTAAAGCTGCTGACAGTCCCAACTCGGGCAGATAAAAAGTCTGGTGCGGGACACTTGTCATTCCCGGTCTATAAGTATGTTGTCAAAAAGCTGGAGCCCGGCCCATGATTTTGCACACTGGGCAGCCTAGGTTGTTGCCGGGCCTAAGTTGGAAGATCCTGTAGTATCAGTCAGGGAAGGACGCTTTAGGACCCACGCCCCCTTCCAAAATTGATCTGATTTCTTATGTTTCATTGGCCTCATTTCCAGTAGGAGCTCATTTCCTCTGTTAACCTGGAAGGGAATGAGCTAGGCCTGGCAATTGGAACTGGACTCCTTAGAGTTCAGCTTGAATGCAGTACCCACTGCTGCACTCCCTCCACACCTGCCCAGGGAGCTGGAGTCAGGGGCGAGCTGTAAGGACTTTAGGATCAGAAATTTAGGGCTTGGAGTTCAGACTGCCTTTGCAAGCCATGTGATTTTGGGCAAATCACCTAGTTTTTGTGTACCAAGTACTCTTTCGTACTTCAGTTTTCTGGTAAAACTAAGACAATTCCTGATTTACTCCTCACCTTTGTCAAGGTGCAAATGGGTTCATAAAGGTGTATAAAAGATAAACAGGTGTGATCCATCTTATTTATTGAAACAAACTTACAAAACATAAAAAACTGAGGAAGCCAGGCCTCTGGACTGGCCAGATGAGTAGAGGCCCACAGAACCATGAATGCAGAGCTAGGCGGTACCACATGTTGGACTCTAGGGAAGTGACCTCTTAGGACTGACCCAGCCTACTCTGGGCCCTAGACAGGGCTGGACTTTGGTGGCTGACACTCCCAGAATCCTGACTATTCTGTTTTGTTCTTTGTTGAAATAACTCCCAACAATCTGAGGGTGGCCCTGAAAGGAGGTGTTCTACAACTTCTCTGGGAATCCGGAAAAGTGTGAGAGAGCCATTTCCCCAGCCACTGCTACTGGAGGTCAGCAACAGAAGTTCAGATATAGAACCGTGGTACATCTGTCCCTGCTACCCTCTCAGGCTGGCCATGGCCAGCCAAGGTCAAAACCTGGGGTAATTCCTCCCAGTCAACAGCTATGAGAGCACCCACCCTGCAGGCTTGGTGGGGTTCTGGAGGTGGCACAGAAACATGCTTTGGTACAGAGTACCTGCTGGTGTAAAACATTTTTATTGTGTAACTGTTCTTAGTTCATTTTAAATGGAGAAAAAATGGAATGCTGGGCTTTGCTGGGGTCAGTGTCATGATAGTTTACCATGGCTATCAGCACATTATGCCAACAGTTCCTTAACTTCTCACTAGCCAAGTCTTCTCAGAGCAAAAGAAATAGGCTGACAACTTCCCATCAAATGTGTATGGGCCACACAGATGCCTAACCAGGAAGTTAATTCAGGATCACAAACAACCACCACCACCCTAAAACGAAACAAAACAAAACCAAAACACATTCAGGTTTTACACCTGAATGGTGTAAAACCACCCGGGGAAATTTCCTGTTCTCTTTAGGACAAAACTTTGGACACAAAGTTAACTTTTCTCCAGGCCTCTTCCCATAGAGTCCTTTGTTTATACTTCCAATATGGCTGTGTTTTTAGTGTTAGATAATTTTCTTTCAAAGAGACATTATATCTGAAATATAACCCTTTCTGCAGTAGGAAATGATCGTACCAAACTTTCTCCTATAAACCGCCCCTTCAGACCCTCAAACATCAATAATATAATTCGAAGTGACTGCTTACCTGAGTATATAAAAATATTTACAGATCCTAAAAGCTGGACCAAGTTTATACACTGTTGCTGAAATGGCTTATTCAGATGACCAGGAAGAAAAATTAATGTGGCCCTGACTGGTGTGGCTCAGTGGGTTGGGTGTCGTCCCGCAAACTGAAAGGTCACCATTCGGATTCCCAGTCGGGCATGTGCCAGGTCTCAGGTCAGGGCCTTGTGTGAGAGGCAACCCACCAATGTTTCTCTGGCACATCGATATTTTTCTCCCTCTCTTTCTCCCTCCTTTTCCCCTCCCTAAAAATAAGTAAATAAAGCCTTTTAAAAAATAAATGTGGATAAAGCTATGACCCATCCAGGGTATGAATTTCAAGATAACTGCCTGCGGGTGACACTTACTATGAAATTACAATTTCAAAATGGTAAGTCAACGGAGAGAACAGGACAAGCAGCAAAACGTGTGCAAGAGTGACACCTGCTGGGTGTCTGAGGAAGAGGGCTAGGCTTGGAAATGAGAAAACCCTCCCGTTTCTAGATTAAATGACTGAAATGTATAAATGTGTTTCCTGGCATCCTGAGAAACTTCTTGTTATTGCCACCAAGAAAATGATAGTAAACAGTGTAGGCATCAAAAAATACATCATTCATCCTGGCTCTCCTTTCCAGGCTCCCTCTAACAGCCAAGGCTCTATGCTTTCACTGAGCGGCAAACTCGGGTCTCCCAGCATCAGCACAAACATTTTCTTGGAGGGGTAGGAGCTCTCAATGGCTCTTTTAATAATTAGGATGGCATGTGTAGGTCACCTAGGACTCACATGCGGGCAATAAAAACGAAACTATTTGTACAAAGTTTATCCTTAACACTCTCAGAATCCCGCATTTGGAACATATTTCTGCTTTAGCTAAAATGGAATAAAATTTGGGATTCTGACCAAATGGGCTGTTCGCCAACAAATCCAGCTCCTACATTGAGCCAAAAAAAAAAAAAAAAAAAAAAAAAGGTTGGGGGCGGGGGTTGGAAATTGTGTGTCAAAACCCAATTCTGTGCAGTCAATTCATAGAAAACGCAGGCTGGTGGTGGCTGGATGGCCGAGGTCCTGGGGGACGGATGAGAAAGACTAATTGAGACCCACAGGTGGCCCACACCTGGGAACAGAGTGAATATTCAGTGTGGTGGCCTCACTTCCTACAGTAGCTGCAATAAACCAGGCTACCTGGGCTGAGTGAACTGAAGAAAAACCCCTCTGTAAGAAAACTAGCTTCACAGAAGTCAGGGAGGTATGAAGGGAAAAAAATACCTGAATTTATGTTCAACACATTTCCTGCAGGTTTAATGGAGACTGGTCTACCCTCACCCCCACCCCCACCCCCAAAGTCTTCTTTATTCAACAAGCCATTTCTGTTCCTGGAAGAGTCAACTGATTTGCTTCTGCTGGAGCATTCGAAGCACTGAGAACTAGGGTGTCCTTCTCTTCTTTTTCTTCCAGAAAGGCCAGCAGCCTCAGACAAGCCAAAGTCCTTTCCTCCTGAATGCGCAATCTCGTGAACTCCACCGTCTTCAAAAACTCAGCGGTGGGTGGCAGCCCTTCCAAGAGCTGGGAAAGGAGGTGGCGCTGCTCTGACGCTGTCCTTTGAAGATGGCGGAGCCGGTCGGGGCTGAGGGGATGCGAGCTGCACTTGGAGAGGAGGCGATAGAGATGCTTGTAGAGGTATTTTACAAAGATCAGGGTCTCGGCCCAAAAGTTGACTTCTGCTTTTTCAAACAGGCAGTCTTCTTCTACCTAAATCAAATGAAAAAGCCGAAAGTCAACCTTCCAGGGGGTGTTCACAAGCCCCAGTCCAGGGCAGAGTCCTACCAGACACAGAAGAGGTGTGTCCCCTCCCCCACCAGAGAGAGGGCCCACTCTCGCCTGTCAACACCAGCGGACACGAACCGCTTGCAGCCTTGAAGGTCACCTTCTATTTTCACTTTTTGTGCTTCTCGACTGGAGAGGAATTTTTTTCTCTAGACTTAACATGACCTTTGATAAAGATGTGTTTGTGGTTCCAAGCCAAGATATTTGGGGGGCCTGGTGCTGAAAAGGGGACCTCAACATGGCAGCAGGCCCTAGACCTAAAAGGTATATCTAGAAATCAGCAAGGAGGGAGGAAGGGAACTCTCAGCAGCAGAATGAACGGCAGATCACCAAACTCGAGACATTAACTAGTTTCTGAGTATGACATCAAATTTCTACAACATCGGGCATTTGCAAGGTCATTTTATCACAGACACTTCATCTTGTGTCTGAATTTCCCATAAACCAGCTGCTTTTTGAACTCCCGGCCTGCTGGTGACGCCAAGAAAGGCATCTGAGTCAGGCACTGGTGAATATGAACTTGAAGTTCTCAAGCAGCCTTTGCTGCTTGTCTTAGACCTCGGTTTTCCTATATGTTGACTAGTCTCTCACCAGGAGGGGCTAATAGTTTTCTTCAAGCAGCAAATACCTTGGAAGGGCCCTGATTCTCTGGAAATGTTTCACTTTCAGATGTAACCATGGAGAGCCCCTGGCTCCTCCAATGTTGACTAGTAAGGGTCCTCCATAATTCACCTCTCAACTTCCAAGGAGCCTCTTTCAAAGTCCTCCCTCTGCATAGACCAGAACCCCAAAAGCCAGCATGACAGCTGTCCCAGCAGCACCCAGCAGGCTGCCGGGGTCATCTGGAGAGTTTCCTAACTGGCTGTTGCTCTGAGCATCCAGAAGCACTGTTTCTGCGGGCACTTCAGGCCCAAGGAAGCCGGTTAGGTGCTGCACCCAGCAGGTTTAGGGCACTCCAAGCTCACCTCCACCTCCCTGAGACCCTAGGACTACCTGAGGCTCGCTCTCCGCACAGACCGGGAGGTCATCACTGTCTTCCAACAGCCACCCCAGCAGGACTGGGAGCCCAGAGGCCAGCCGGTCCCACTGCTGGAGCAGGTCACACAGCACAACCAGGGCCAGATCCAGGGCGATGGAGGCATCCACCTGGCAGAAGGCAAATTCTGTGGAAATGAGAGAGAGGTGAGAGATGAATGTGCAGCTTGGGGCCAACCCAGGGAGGCTCCGTAGGACTCTGGTAAAACCACTGCCACCAGCCTGGCAGGGAAGCTGGTGGGATAGGCCCACTATAAGTTATTAACCCACTTCTGAGTCCTGTTGTCTACACAGCAAGAGTCATGGGCCTGAAGCCCACCATTGCCATGCTGCCTCTCACAGGGCAGACAGAACCAGCCCCACCTGCAGGACTAGACACTTAAGTTGTCTCCTGTGGTTGGAAGGCTATCAGGAAAGCTTCGCACCCAGTGTCTCCTCTGTAGCCCTGCCACCATGCCCAAATCCCATTGGTTTGTCCCTTCCTCCCACTGCAGATCCCATTGGGCACATAATACACAGAATCTCTAACACCCTAGGGCAGGGCATCAGCGAACTTGTTCTTAAAGGGCCAGAGAATAAATAGTTTAGAATGTCACAACTACTCAGCTCTGTTGAAATTAGCCATAGACAATAGGTAAACAAATGGTTGTGGCTGTGTTCCAGTAGAACTTTATGTCCCAATAAAATTTGAATTCTGCATAATTTTCATATCACAAAATACCCTTCTTTTGATCCCCCCCCCAACTGTCTAAAAATGTAAAAACCGCTCTGCTGTGGTTCACATGCTGTACAACAGGCAGTGGTCTGCAACTAGCTCAGATTTCGTTGCCTTCTGCTCAGAGTGAATTCGTCCTTCAGATGCTCATCTTCCTAACTGACTGGGTGAAGGGTGCTGAGAGAGGAAGTGCCTTGGGGAAACCGTGCTTACTTCACCATTTTGCCGGAGACAGTCGTAAATATAGGTTTGAAGGGAGACACGGGGTGTTGACACTTCCCCAAACACCGTACCCCTCCCACCCCCAGCCTGGAGGAGGTCTGACACAGGGGCCTCGAAGCCCACCACCCAGACAATGAACTTCTGTGAATCCATCGTGCACCAGTGCTCGTCTTTCAATAACTTGCCTTGTCTTTTCCAAAGCCACCTTTCTGACGCCAGCCCACAGACCTGCCCCTGACCACTGGGCCCAGAAGAGGTGTGCTCAGCACACGGGGAGGAGGCTCGGCATCAAGAATGGAGGGCTGAGCTCCCCATGGTGTTGAACCAGGCTTAGGCTTATTATGAAGGCCCTTTAGGAGCTAGGGCCCAACCAAGTACTTTCTCTCCAGTCCTTCGGCATCCTGTGGGTTGGGTACGACCACCCTTACCTCACAGATGAGGAACCCAGGGCTCGCACAGATTAATAATACACTGTGTACAGTCACAGAGTGTTAAGCGGCTATAAAGAGACCGAAATCGACAGGTTCCAAGGTGCATGCAGAACACGGTCTGGAGAATTAACACGGCATTCCAGAGACCTTGCCGTCCTTACGCGGACGTGAGCGGGGCTGGCGACCTCTAGAGGAGCCAGGGTTACAGGAGTGCATAGGGCAGAGCCTTGACTCGGAAGCAGCCGAAGGACCGACGATGTTACTGTGTTTGCAGCCCCACGTCAACCCCCAGGACACCTGCTCCTTAGTACCCCTGTTCTCCATATTGCTGGTCTGCAGTCTGGAACCAGGATTTAACCAGGAAATAAAAAGGAGTGCATTTTCTTTTTTCCCTTTCTTTCTTTAGAGAGTGAAGAAGGGAGGGTTAGAGAGAGGGAGAGAAACATTGACTGGTGACCTCTTATACATGCCCCAACCGAAGACCGAACCCGCAACCTGGCACGTGTCCTGACTGGGAATCAAACCCACAACCCTTCGGTTTACGGAACGACACTCCAACTGGGTCACACCAGCCAGGACTGAAGGTGCATTTTGGCTGTAGGTCCGAGCCAGGTGTTGGTTCAGCCTTCACTATATGGGGAGGAGGTAGAATTAATTGGCTTCTTTCAACCCTCAAAGAATTAAACATACACATGAAGACCAGTATAGGATTAAACACATAGCAGATGCTCAAATCATTCCAGTTTATGGCTCTGGAGATCAAGAAATCTTTCCTTTACCCCACTTAATTTAGTTTGAACACTAACATAGGAACTGCCACAAAGAAAGCATTCAATAAATGGTTAACTAGCATTACTGTTGACAATAAACACTTTCCTTCCATTGAACCCTAATTGCTCCCGCCACCAGGAGGGAAGTATCGCTATTAAACAAATGAGGAAGCTATGCTCATAGAGGTTGGGTAAACAGGTCCAAGTTCACACAGTCAGTAGTGGTGGCATTAGGCCAAGCTGACCTCAGTGCACAGGCTGTCCCTACCCTGCAGAGAGGCAATGGAGAAACACTCCCAGCACCCCATGGAGACGAAGAAGTGGGACTTGGTTTTATCACTTTCAGTCATTAAAACAGCTCCCAGCTGAGGGCCGTATTTTGAAGAAACGTAAAAGCTGTAAGCCCTTAGTATTATGGCACCAGCAGCAGGTCTGCTTATCTTGAAGCCTTTGTAAACGATCTGCCCTCTGATTCACCCTCTTCTCCCCACCCTTCTGTGTTATTGTCTCCTTAAGGCAAGGACTGAAAGCCCCACAGGGAAGAAAAAAACTTTCCTGTACCAGCAAATTCAGTGCCTGCAGCTCAGGTAACACTCCTGTTGGGTCCATCAAAGGCACACGGAGCTGACCAGAGATGCCACCAGGAAGGCCAGACTGCCACACGCTTGGGATGTGGTAGGAGAGTGTTGGGAACGGCAGAGGCACAAAAGGAGCACCGGCGCGCTGGCCACAGGTGGATCCAGGTAGGTGTCTAAACTACCCAAATGCTGACCCCGAGAGACGAGGGGGAAAAAGGGAGGACAGCTGGGCTGGGAGCATGATGTGTTGAGTTTAGATCACCTGCTTGCGGGGCCAGATGCATCCCCCCACATTCCTTCTTTTTACTGCCTTGTCCTGGGCTCAGACAGCGCAGCCAGAATGGTGCACGTCTCTACTGCCAGATGCCCTGTGAAGGGGAGGCCGACGCGTAGGAAGAGGGAATTTTTACCTAACGACAAAGGCCTGCCAGACTCTCAGAGGCTTGCTGGTCCGTCAAAGAAGTTAAGACCACAAGTGACCAACCAATGAGTATGTCTGAAAAACGGGGTGTGTGCCTGAACAGCCAGTTGGGAAAAATATAACAAAACTGGAGGACTCACACATGCTGACTTCAAAACTTACAACAAAACTTAACAATAAAGGTATCAAGACAGTGCGGCAGGGGCACAAGGACCGAGACACACAGACCAGCGGAATGAACGGGGTGTCCGGAACGAGCCCTCACCCTGAGAGCCAAGGAGTGTTCAACAAAGGTGCCAAAACCATTAATCAGAGGCAGGATGGGTAAGAACAGTCCTTTCGACCAGGGGGAGCCGGGACAGCTGGACTGGACTCCCACCTCACGACACACACAAAAATTAACTCAAAATGTATCAAAGACTGAAATTTAAGAGCTGAAACTATAAAGGTCATAGAAGAAAATAGAAGAAAAGCATTGTGATTTTGTATTAGGCAATGGTTTCTTTAAATGACATCAAAAGTACAAATAACAAAAGAAAAGTTAGACTTCATCAAGATTGAAAGCTTTTATGTTTCAAAGAATACCATTAAGAAAGTGAAAAGACAACTCAGAGAACTGGAGGAAATGTTTGCAAATCCTGTATTTGACAGGGGACTTGGCTCTAGAATATGTAAAGAACTCTTAAAGTCCAATAAGAAAACCCAATTAAAACATGTGCAAGGCCTACAGAGGGGCATTAGCATTCAGTCATTTGCAAGCAAGTCGGAAAGCCAACCAATGAGCATTTAGAACTGATTAAGCCTGTGCCTTCCACGCTGGTGAATGGATAAGTCACTCGGATTGGACGGGAGGGGAGCGGACCAGAGGCTTCAGGGCTGCTGCAGTGCAGGCTTCCTCTTGCTGCCGCCCCAGCCTGCGTGTCGTCCTTCCCGCCTGGGTGATGGGCCTGGGTGGTGTGGCCCACCGTGCGGCTCGGGGCTGAAGACCCAGGCTTCCCCACAAGTCCCAGCCTATGTATCCCCACTAGGAGAAGCAGTCATTCATTTCTAGGCAAGCAGATGGGCAAGTCACGGGCTCTGAGGTCATTTTCAACTTTACTGATGAAAATGTAAATGCTAACATTGATTTTTTTGTCCATGTTGCCAATTTTGAAAACCAATGCACAGAATGGATTAGCAGCCCACAGTCTGATTCTAAAGTATCACGGGGGAGATACCTTCCGGGCCGAGGCTGTTGGTCAAGTCTCTTTCCTAGTCTTTCCCCAGAGAGGTCAAGTCGGCACAGTGAAAGCTGAGTAAATGGCGATGGGCTGACTTATCCTGTCCTGAGCTCAGGAGAATTAGGCATCTGTGCAAAGTCCCTCACACCTGCCACCCACCCAACTCTCCACCCACCTGCCCACCCATTCACCCAGCAAATCAGGTTTTGTCTTCCCGCCAGCATTTACTGGTCACCACTGTGTGGGGCCCGTTGGGACACACAGGAGGAAAACCCCAGCCCCTTTCTTCAGGGAGCAGACAGTTTCGTCAGAGGCAAGCGGACACACATGGAGTGTCAGGAATCAGTCCAACATGGTATCTGACAGGGACTAAGTATTTCACCAGCAGCAGTAATGAAAGGACAGAAAAGGGGGGAAATGTGGAGAGTGGGAGGAGGAGTGCTTCGTGATGGGGACCCGGGCAGTCAGGGCGTGGAAGCCACACACAGCTGGGACCAAAGGGAGGTGACATCAGCCCTGACCATTGAAGAGGGTGTTTGGAGGGGAGACGGAGGGGCAGACGGGCTGGAGCAGGCTTGAGGAGGCAGGGGCAGTGTGTGATTGTGCTGCCTTCTTAGTAAGTGAAAATATTTCCAGGTTTCACTACGGCTTTCCAGAAAATGCCATCATTTCCAGTCTTCTCTGCAGACTTCCTCGCTTCTCTCAGCTGGGCAAGAGCCTGTATTTTAATTAGTCATGAGAAATGAGTGTGGAACTGAAGCCTGGTTCAGCTGCTGACTTTGCCACTCAACTCCCCCAGAGGCTTCCAGAGCCTCTCTGCACTGCCCCCCAACCCCGGCCTCTCCTGACCCTCCACCTCCAGAGCCCAGGGCTCTCCGCTCTTCGGGGCCATCTGAGCCAGGGCCCAGAGGTGGGGTTCCAGGTATGGAAATCTGGGAGAGCACTTCGAGGCTATACCATCAAAGGTCATCATCTCAGCCTTTACCACTCAAGGTGACCTCTCCCTGCAACAAGTGGCCCAGACAAAGGTCAGTGTCCCAGTGAATGGAAAGGGGTGGCACCTCCAGATTTGAAGAACCAGCAGGAAGCCTGCGTGGGGAGCCATGGGTATTTGTGGTGTCTTTCTTCATCTGAATATTGAAACAGTTTTCTCAAAGGAGAACCGGATGTGCCAGTCAGTGCTCCCAACGGCACAGCAGCCCCAGCACGCACTGCACCCACTCACTGAGCCTGCTGCCCACCCACTCACCGCTCCAGGTCGCTGTCCTTGGACTTCAGCCAGACCTTCCCCCACTCCCATCCTGGCTGGAGGGGATGCAAACCTCACGTGGCCCAGGTGGATCCCTTTCCTCCTGCTTCTTTCTGTCCCAAAGACAGCACGTGTGGAGGCAGCACCCCACCGATGCCTGCAGCTCCGGGGCTCTAGGCCCCCGGAGACCCACCTGAAGCAGCTGGACGGAGGTGCAAAGAAACTGTTCAGTCTTCACACAGGTTTGCAACCGCTCACATGGTTTTTTGAAAAATCAGGAGGTTTCTCGTAAAACCCCAAATCTCTAGTATCTTTTGAACATTCAGAAAATCAGAACCTGGTGTCTCTGGGTCTGCATTTTAATGTGCTAACAGGTGCCTTGTGAAAACCAGTGACCACACCCTACCAGAGGTGCCTGTGCATCTAACTGGGGACTACCCCACCGCCTCCCGCCTCACCCCTGTAGGCAATGTGAGTCTGTGACCCCACATGGGGGCACTGAGGAAGACCCCTGTCCTAGCGCCCCAAGCCGGCCCCTTACCTTTGCTGACCAGACACTGGGATTCCTGGCCAAAGCTCTCCTCTCATCAGTCTCCCCCACCGCTCCCTGGGCCTACCCTTACGGCTTTGATTTACTCACCATTCCCCGACCTTCCTCCTCACCTAGACCTAGCCAGACCTACTTGTGCCTCGGGACCCGACCCAGGTCCTGTGCTCGGGATTTCTCCAGCCCATCCGCACCTTTCTCTGCTCACAGCTGCATGGCACTCGACACTGTGTTTGTGGGTGGCAGGGGAGGGTGTTCAGTGGCTTCCCCAGCGTCACTGCGCTGCCACACCTGGCACATGGCAGATATTACCCACTGGGCCCTTGCTTAGGGGCTTGTGCTAAGCAACTGACTCAGGACTCACGTTTCCCCAATGGGAAAACTCCAAGATGACAAGAACCAGGTCACATACGTAAACAGAATGATTGTTGCCATTTCACATTCAAGGTTATTACTAAGGTATAGAGAAGCAAGTTGTAAAGGGGGAGGGCCAGATACAAACCCATACTGGGCATGGGGGGTTTCAGGTTCACCTACTCCTTCATTCTGGGCAACTGAGTTTCTTTCTCACTCAGTTCTTCCCCCACCTCAGTCCAGTACTTTCCAGTGGCCCCAAGTCCTCTCAGCACCCCGCCCCCACCCCCACCACGACTGCCTTTCTCCTGACAGCACCTCCTGCTTCCTCAGTTTAATTCCCTCGGCTTCTTTCAAGACCTAGTAGAATGAGATCAATGTGTCTTGGCAAGTGGGAATGGGGTGGTATCCACCTACTATTCCTGGTCAGAGCAGACCCGGGAGAATGTTTATCCAGGAAAGGTCTCTAGTTCCTCAAAAAGTTAAACACAGAACTACCATATGATGCAGCAGTGCCTCTCCCAGGTATATGAAACCATGTCCTCGGAGAAAAGCTTGCACACGAGAGTTCACAGCAGCACCCCCCAACAGCCAAAAGGTAGAAACCACCCCAATGTCCATCAGTGGATGACTGCACAAACAAAGCGTGGCGCGTCCACTCAACAGAATTAGGCAGAAAAAGAAACGAAGTGCTGATGTGTGCTATGATGTGGTGGAACCATGTACACATTATACCTAGTAAAAAGCCAGGCACGGATGTCATGTAATGTGTGGTTCATTTATATAAACTCTCCAGATCAGGAAGATTCGTGGCGGCAGACAGCAGACCAGTGGCTGCCAGAAGCTGGGAGGGGATGGGAGGAGAGGGACTGACTGCTAGATGATCACAGGGGTTCTGTGTGTGTGTGACTGTGTGTGGTGCCAAATATGCTCTGAAACTAGATAGTGATGGTTGCACAACGTGATAAACGTACTAAATGCCACCGAAGTGTATACTTTCAAATGGTAGATGAATTTTGCCTCAATGCAGATAAAAATACAGAAAAGAAAGGACCTCCTTGGGGTGGAGTCAGAGAGTGTGCCAAGAACAGAGGATGATGGGAAATTCAATTCTGTGGCTCTGAGGCTTTAAAGAAAAGGAGGTGGGTAAAAAAGTGCCTCATCAGAAAGTACGGCTCTCTAGGACACAGCTCCCAAAGACTAATCTTGAGCAGGGGTGAGAGGGGTGGAGACAGGAAGGTGTGCATGGGCTAGCCCTCCCCTCTACTGGGACTGGGCTCACACATGGACAGGAAGTTTAGGACTCGGAAGACTAGAGAGGTTACAAGCTTTAGGAGGGTGGTCTTAACCACCACTGAGGAGGGGACCCTTGCTTTCCTGTACCTCATCACATTCAGTAACAAAACAGACATTTTACATCTAAAAGCACCTGCAAGCTAAGACTCATATGTAAGTGGATCCCCCAAAACAGAACTTTATGCAAAGACTGGAGATCAGATCACAATACTGCAAGGAGAAATCTCTTTGCCCAAATTACACAGACCCACTCGCCTGGTTTCTATTTCATTGCCTGAGTCTGTTTTATAGTGCTTTTTCATGAAAGCTTTTAAAGGAGGCTATTCCCTGACGTCATGCAAAAAAAATGTCCGAACACAATTACATTACAGAGCAGTGCTTTTGGAAGAGAACACAGCCAGGAAGCTTGCTGGTATCCTGTTTCCTTTCCTTTAAAGCCATTCATCTGCTCTCTAAAAGCAGAAGCCCCCAACTCCAGCTCTCCAGGTCCCTCTATCTGGGAAATGCACACAGAACTGTGTCCCCCTCCTGCAAGAGCAGAGAGGTGGGGGGGCTGTCAGGGAGCAACGTCCAGCCGGAGCACGCCCGACACTGGCGCACCGTCCTGAGCCAGCTTGTCTAACATTGCGCATCTCACAATCCAGGTGAGGACACAGCCAGCGTCCTTCCACTGGCTTTCTCCGGAACCTACTCTCCAATCTCCCTTTCACTTCCTCCCCTACCCTCATGCCTTATTCAGATTTGCCCCCAACTGCCCCAGCTCAGGGAATGGCTTTTCTTAAAAGCTATTATGAAAAACAGCTCTTTTCACTCAAAATCTGTTCTAGTGTGAGAAAATTTTCCATTTTTTCCCATTTCTTTCTCCTCCTGGCAGGACCGGCCATACTCCTACATCTCTGGCAGAGGCAGTTCCTTCTTTCCTCCCTGTAGGCTCAGGCCCCCCCCTTCTAGTCTCAGGTCCAGCCTCCCCCCACCGCCATTTCTAGACGACCCTCTCCCCCTCTCACTCCACGACCTCCCTTCTTTCAGTCCATACTGAGCACCTTGCCATTCCTATCAACCTTAACTAGAGACCTGGCCTTTCTCGCTGACACAGACTCACTGCCACCCCACTGGTGACTTCGACATCCATGAAGATGTCCCTTCCAGCATTTGGTTCCACCCTTCTTCAACCTCCAATACTGTCCACCTCCAATTTCACTCTACCCACGATATCCATGATGGCATCTGAAAATCTGTCATTACTTAGAATTACTTCAAGCTCAAGATCTCAAATTCTAAGATTTGTCATCACTTTTAAAAATGAACATCATCATCGCTAACATTTATTGGTCACTTATGTGCAAGCACTGTCATAAGTTCTTAATATGTACCAATCACATATGTATTATTAGAATGACTTTTTAAGGTCCTATGAGCTCCATGTAATAAATGAGGTAAACAGAGACAGGTTAGGGCACGGGATTTAAACCACACAGTCTACACACTATGGCTCCTATACCATATGACCTCTCCAGTATCCCTAACACAACTTTTGCACTTTCTAGTTATTCCACTGAAACTATCCAGTCATTCTAACCCTGACCATGTCCTTGACCCTGACCCTTATCACAGCCACCACTTGCCTCCCTCTGCATATCCTGGACTCCCTGGCCCAGTGATGTTCTCCCTGGCCCCCAACCCCTGGTCAACTCGACCTGCTACCAGGCTCTACAGTGCTCTGTAACCGCTTCTCCCTAACCCTCCTTTTCTGCCCACTTTCAGCGACAGGTTCCAGCGGAAGGCAGTATATTGACTAGGCCCTCTATAAATTCATGCCATGTCATCTCGGCTGGCTTCTCAATGCTCCTTGACAATTCTTACGTTCATTTTTGTGGTGACCCCTAACTGAATCTCTGTGTAAGCTGATCCACTTTGTCTGTGTCCCTAGATCCCATTCCCTGACCACCCATTATTGTAGATAACCTTGTCTTCTATGAAAGACATTCAACAGGAACTCAAATGTCTGTCCTCTCCACCTGCAGAATTTCTCTAATCATTCTTCTAAAACATTAGCTTGAAGGCAGAGCAGGGTCTAGGAAATGTGGTGTTAGGGCAAAAGAGCAATGTCAATATTTATGAGAGATAGTTCTGGGATGGAGAAGGAGACCCTAAAGACACATGGGAGAAAAGGGCCTGGTGGTGGATCAAGCTGATAAAGATGGCGTAAGGTGCTTGCTGCGTGAGAATGTGTGGAGGCAAAGGATCACGTTTTTGCTGCTTCTGAAGTGGGGGTAGGTGAAAAGACAGATGAGGTTACAGAGTGATCTACACTTGGGCCCTTTCTTTGCCTGTCTCCCCCTCACTTCTAAACTCTTTGAAGGTGGCTTCTCACTTCCCACTACTGAACCCTCTTTCTCAGTTCTCTTATGACATTTTTTCAATCCTTATCCCCCTTGACCTGACCTTTTGGCAGGGTTTGGCATGGCTGACCAACCCTGTCCACTTGATAGTTTTCCTTTATTTGAGTTTCATGACAAAGGAGCCTCTTGGTTTTCCTGAGGGGTCTTCGTTACTTCCTTTGCTAGCTTCTTTCCCAAACGATCACAATGGCCTCCTAAGAATGCTCTCTACCTTTAATTTCACCCTCTTCCTAATCCATCTATTTATCTCTTCTCATTCAATACATATTTATGGAGCCCTTCACATGTGCCAAGCACATGGCAGCTATTAAACTGTAGCAGAATTAATCTTAATGTGTAGCTCTGATCACATTACTTATTTGTTCAAAATCTTTATGGTTCTCTGGCGCAAATGGTATCCAGACTCTGGCCTAGTGCTCCAGAGTTTGGTGACATCTGTTGCTTTTGTGGCCTAGCTTTCATTCACATTTTTTCCTTTTTTAGATTTTATTATTTTTAGACAGAGGGGAAGGGAGGGGGAGAGAGGGGGGGGAGAGGAAGATTGATGTGCAAGAGGAACATCCACTGGTTGCCTGTCGCACGTCCCCAACTGGGTCCCTGGCCGGTAACCCAGGCACGTGCCCTGACTGGGAGTCAAAGCAGCGACCTTCCGGTTTTCGGGTTAGTGCTCAACCCACTCAGCCACACCACCAGGGCCGATCCACCTTTTTGGGATAGCAGTGCTCCCATCTCCCCTTGCAGTGCCAGCCCCTCCATACCTTTTAGTGTATGTTGCTTGGGTGAAATTCACTGGCCCCGGCTCCGGGTATGGACACCTGCCCCAAGTGTAAGCCAATCAGGAATCATGTTCCCTACATCAGAGATTAGTTCTGGGATGGGCCTGGAACCCAACTAGAGCCGTTTCAAAAGTGCTGAGACTTCAGTGACACCTATAAAAGCTGGAATTGCTGTAGCTGTCTTCCAACTCCAAAGCAAATGAGAGCCTATCAGAAAACAGAAGCACGCTAAGAGCCGGGGGTGGGAATGGGAAGAAATGGCAAGAAACTAGGTCCCTGGGACACTGTTTGAGCCCTGGAATTACAGCACATCTTTAGCCAGCCCTTGCCCCAGAATTCTGACTTACATGATCCTCTGTGCCCCTCTGTGCTAAAGCGGGTTGGGTCTGCCTTCCCGTCTTCTGCATGTGGTGGAGCCCTGCTTGATCCAGAGGCCCTGCCCCGAACTCCAAGTTCATCTCACCCCATCCTACTCATGCGCTTGAGGCCTGCACCCTACTAATTCATTCCTTTCCCGAACAGGCCTACACTTGGCCACCCCGGTCTTTCTGGAATGCTCTCCATCCTTCCTCATTGAATTACACTCATTCTTTAAGGTTCAGTTCCAGTGAACTTTCCTGCTGGCAGCCATTCTCCAACTCCCTCCAGGGAAAAGCGTTTGTCCAGTAAACAACTAAGCGAACAAACAATGACACAGAAACAGGGTCCGTCCATGTGGGGGTGGTCTCCAGACTGATGCACAGACTTGGGCCCCAGAATTCACGGTCGCCGTGGACTTGTTTGAGGCTTGGGACTTGTTTCCTCTCTTCCCCGTGGTGTAAATCCCTGATCCCTACCCTCTTTGGCCATCATTTCCTTGAGACCCTGGCTTTTTAGAATGTTAGTAGATATTTAAAACAAAAAACTCCAAACTCTAAAACCAACCAAAAAGATTAAAAAAGATATGGCTACTAAATAAGTTTAGAAGATTCTGGGTTAAACAAAGTGTGTGTGTGTGTGTGTGTGTGTGTGTGTGTGTGTGTGTGTTTAAGTGGCAGGAGGTGGGGGTGGGGGCAGGGCATGTGGTCTTTCTCCAACTTACTCATAAAACAGGTACCAGTGCAGAGCGAAGTGCCGCATTCTTCCCTGCAGACAGGCTTCGGTTTAAGATGGTGCGTATTATTTTATATACACATATAAATACCCGACCCTTTGTTCAAGGTGCCCATTTGCTCTGCACAGTGACTATTATGAACACAGAAAACTGTTCATTGTTAAATATGGCATGCTAAGTGGTTTTGCTTTCTGG